TATTATTTGCTAAAAAAAAATGTTCTGTATTTTATTTAGTGTTCTGTATTTGTTAAGTATTTCGTTATTTTTTTAGTTTTACAGTTTTGACACAACATTTTTTCAACTATAAACATTTTAATAAATTACTTTATCAAATTAAAAAATTAATACATAACTGGAATGAATTTGTTTTATAAATTGTATGAATCGAACATGACTTTTTTCCCAAACCATTTTCATTCACAATATTAAAAGTTCATAAAATGTATGAACTTGTACATGATGCTAATTTTTTGAATTTTTACTTTTTTTTCAACGGTATTCATGAAATAATTGCATAAAAGTCATTATTTACTATTCTGTTTACATAGTAACAGAATAGTAATCCTATATTAGCGAATTTTATATAATAAAAAATGGGAATTTAAATGTTGAAAAACAAAATCTAAAAAAGGAAATCATCAGCAAACATAGTTAACATCCATTCTTCAAAAAGGCCTGCAAATTACGGGCAAATTTTATCGATTTTAATCTAAAAATCATAAAGAAATAAACAATTTTCCAAAGAAAATTTTAAACATTCAAATAGAAAAATAAAAATAAATTTGAAATATTTTAAGTCAAGGCTCCTAGATTATGTTAAAAAAAAAAAAAAAAAAACAAAAATTAAAAAATTCATACCATTTAGGAACTATTCTTAAATATTATTAACTTTTGTCAATGAAAGAAGTTCAAAATATTTATTCTGAAACTTTTTTTCTGTGAACAATCAATATAATAATGTTTAAAACTTTATTGACAATTGAAATTTTGACGGCTAAAAATAACCTGATTTAGAAAATGGTGTTTAGTGTATTTATCTCTTGTTCTGTATTTTGCTGAAAAAATATGGTCACCGTACGTATACGGGACACCGTTGTCCCAAGATTTTTTTTACATTTTTCTCAATTTAGAGCGTAATTTTGAGTGGGTATTTCCAAAGAAAACTAGGTTATTTTTTTTAGAATTTGATAGCATTTTATGCGATATCCTTCGAAACTTTTTCCATTTTTCATCAAAAATTATCGATATACGTCAAAATAAAGTGTCTAGTGAAGTCATATCCATACAAATATAGCGGTTTAGTTTTGTGCGTGAAAGAGATAATAGAAAAATATCTCATTACCAAATTTTTTTTGCAAAGAAGACTCATTCCACTTTTAAAATAATGGTTAAATTTTCAATTTTGATATGTATTGATGTTCGGATTTCAATATACAGTAGTTTACGTTTATAGTCATCACTGTTATAGTCACATTAGTAATATTGTCAATTTTATTAGATTTAAATGTCTCTGTCGATAAATTTCATATAAAAAAATTACTTTATAATCCATTTTTGATATAAGCACTTTTCACATATGTCATATTCCATTGAATTAATTAATGAAAAAACTTCACGATATTGTCACACACAAAATTTTTTTCTAAAAAAATTAGTTTTTAAAGTCGACAAAAAAATGTTAACTAGTAACGATCCAAATGAAAAAAAATTTGTTGAAGAAGATTAAAAAAATTTTAAATGAAGAAATTTTGGTTGAAGAAGATTAAAGACATTTTAAACGCAGTAGATATTTTGCGACATTTTTGCTTAGAGCAAGATATAAATTCAAATTTTTTACTTGAAAAAAAAAAAAGAAGATGCAATTGTAACCAACATCCTCAAACTAAAACAGACTTAAATTATTAATTTTTTTTAAATAATATAAACAATATTTCTTAACAAATTTATGAAAATAATATTTATTTCTTTGATAAACATGAATTTTTATTTTTTTTTTTTTTTTTTTTTGTACACAAAAAAATGAATATATAAGATTTTCTTTATAAAAACTTTTGCTTATAATCACTTTAGCGATAGCGATAGTCCTCAATTTGTGTGCAATTAAGGGTTGTGACTATAAGCGAAAAGTACTGAATCTCATTCAAAGCTTGGAAAGAATGAATTCTATTTGGAATGAATTCCCTTATATTTTTAATTCGGCTTTAAATTTTTGAATGTACCATTCTTTAAAATCATTCTTTGAATTCAAATTCTAAAGCTGAATTTCTTAGCTTTATATTCCATTGAATTAATTCCTAAGAGAATTCATTCTTTATAGGAATGAATTCAATTGAATGAATTCAATTCATATTTGTTTAATTCCCTCTATTACAAATTGAATGAAAGAAAAAAAATTTAATTAAATTTTTAATATGCAGAATGCTTTTGCATTATAAAACAAAACTTTCATTCAATCTATTTCAAATTAAATGGTTGAAAAATTTTTAAATTCAATTTCTAACAGATTGAATTCAAACTAAATTTATATCATTCAGAGGGAATTTAAAAATCAATAGGAATTGTTGAAATTTATTTTAATTCAATTTGTAACAGATTGAATGCAAACAAAATTAATGCATTCAGAAGGAATTTAAGATTTTATAGGAATTAATTCATTAGAGTATTAATTCAACTACATCGAAAGCTTTAAGAATTAATTCTAGGAATTAAATCAAAGAGAATGAGTTTGAAGAATTGTTAATTCTTTAAAATATAAATCAATTTCAAAAAAAAAAAATTAGGGAATGAATTCTTTTAGAGCTTTGATCTCATTTCTATAATAATAATTTTCTTTTCAAACATGAAAATTTTAAGATTTTCATATATAAAATAATGAAATTTATGTAATCCTGAAAAATCCTGGGGTCCCAAAATACATCTTTTATTTGTTTAGATATCTCTACATAGAAAAAACTTAAATTTAAAATCAGTAAACATGATAAATAAATACCAAAAAATAAATTTTCCTTATTAGAATATTTTTTTGACAGATAATTAAAAAAATCGCATCATTTCCAAACAATTACGCATTTTATTACCAGAATAAAACAAATTATTTAAATTTATACTAAGATTTAAAAATATTTATTGAATTCAAATTTTACTAAATCAGTGAAACTAAAATTTCCAAAGAAAATACTAGTTTAATATATAAAATTACTATAATTAAAAGAGAATAAGTAAAACTAAAGTTTAAAAAAAATAGAAAATATACTTAAAACTCTTTAAACAAATAGCAGATTTAAAAATCCTTTAAAGAATCACAACTATTTTACAATATTAACACTGAAATACCTACATATACATTTAATGTTACAAACCAAATGCGAATTATATCAACTTATTTTTCAGCGTAAAAACTTTCAATACATATGAGAAAAATTAAGCTCCGTGAGTAAGAAGAGCATGGCAAAACATGTTTTGTTGTTGTATTCTTGTCATAAAAGCAAAACTCAAACAAAAACATTGCGTGAATTATTAAACTATTCATTGAAAATAAAAAATCAATAAGGGGTTTGTTGGAATATATTTTATGAAGTTATGACTTGAATGTTTGCCGAATGATAAAGGAGAAAGGTAGCGAAAAATCTAAATTTTTACATTTAATACAAAAATACTCTTAAATGTTGTCTCACAGGAGAAATAAGATATAAGAATGGTTAAGTATTTATTTTGAACGCATTTGAAAGCCATTTCTATGATAGACAAAACTTCAACATTATGATTTTCAACATTGCACTATAGTTCAAACTACCAGTTTTCCTGTGCGAAATTAAAATTTTGGAACAGTGAATATAAATTCTTTTTTGATATCATCCTATTACCAATACACCAATATTTCGCAATCCATTTTTGTGAAATGCTAAACACAGTTCTACTGCACGCAGTCAAAGTCATCATTTCAAAATATTTAAAAAAATTATTTTGTAGAGTCTATATTTTTACATTATTTTTGAACGTTAATTCTGGAAAAAGTAAATAGTAGTTTATATATATTCATGTAAATGGTCGGAAATAATATTTTTTCACTTCGAAAAAGGCAATATTTAAAATAACCTTGAAAAAATTAAATTTGATTTTAAAATTTTAACTTTATGAAAGCTTTTAAGAAAATATTCACGTTTGTTAAACCTGTGCCCCGTTTCTGTAATTCTCGCATCGAGAAAATCTGTCGAAAAATTCATGATCATCTTGTGTAAAACAGGGTGAATACTAGAAATTTAAAAATTTCTTATTAAATTTTAATGAGTATAGTTTAAAAATAATCAGAGTCACACTGTTAAAAACTGGAAGACTGTTATATTTTACAGAAACGAGAAGAAATGAATAACCTGAAATGTTGTGAATTAGTTTCACTTTACCCGAAATTGCGCGTTTTGAGTAATTTAATATTTTCTAGGATGCTACCTTATAAGCATTTTTCAAATTTGACTAAAGGACTACGCAAAGGATGATGTCCTTATCATACATGTGTTTTTGTCATCATGTTATCCAAGGTGTTTGCAAGGAATTACTGTATTTAAAAGTACGAATTTTCGTAATTTCTTAACAAAAAAAATGAAAAATTGCAGCAGGAAGGTAGAAAAAATTTGTATTAAAACTGATTTATTATTTCGGGCAGTAGCAACCGCTGCATGGAAGCAAAGACCCTCATGCTGGAAATTAGTTCTAAAAAACTTTCGTGAGTCCGGCAAGTCCTTCCAAAATGAAAAAAGTTGTGTTATACAACAACCAAAGTGTTAATTTTCGCTTAAATTTGTTCTAATATACCTATTTATGCCTATGCTCCACCTTAGACTTCAAAGAGTTTAATTTTTTGTCGATCTTAATTTCGCACTGAAAAAGTGATTTTCTAGATTGATTAAAATTTTTATTTTACAAAATTAGAAAACAAGGATATATCGTCACCTGATAAAATATACAAAAAACAAATTAGTTATCTCCAAGTACAAGTAAGATAATTCTAAAAAGCATTGTAATTACTTCTGGGTTTATTGCTGTTGGAATATAATATATGTACGAAAATTTATTTTTTATAACAGTTTTAATTCTTTTTTGTCTCTCCTGTTAAATTTTGAAAAGTGTTGTTACGCGTTTTTGCATTTCATCTTTCATATTTGCCATTCACTTGATTTTATTTACATTTGCTCCTAAATTATGTTTTATGTTCGTTATATAAAATACTAAATGTAAAAATATTGATAGTTCGCTGTACGCGATGTTCTTAAAATCGAATGTTCGAAACATGTTTGAAGTTCATATGTATAATTCCAAGAATATATTTATAGGCATACATTTGGAGTTGTGACATGTATTCAATGTTTTTGATACTAAACACTTAATATTAGGAACTAGAAGTTTTATATACCATTTATAATACTATAGTAGAGTTGAGCCGCTACACAGTTCGTAAGGTTGAATTGGAGCGATGGTGATGGATATCGGCAGTTGTATGGTGAACATTGGACACTGACATAGGTATGCTAATATTTGAATAATAAGTCTGATGAAGGTTGCTCATTGGATTTGTCATCACTAGCATCGGATGGGAGGCGGGACTGTCGTAACTATGAGGCATATTTGATTGGGATGTAGTGACATTGACACCAGTTGTATATTGCAAAAAGGGAAGATTTGCTGCAGCTGTTATTGTATGTAGTGGAGGCAAAGGTCTGTATATATCATCAATCGGTGGATTTTTATTATTTGTAGAATTTTTTGACAAATCAGGAGAAGCCATCATGGTTATGGTGTGTGTATCATCAACTAGAATGCTGCTATTGTCAACGACATCTATATCATCGTTTCGATCATCGCCATTAAAACTGTCTTCAGTAGACGAATCATTGATTTTATCTGGAGTAATAAGACTTTCGATAGTAAATGCCCGTTTTGGACGGTAGCTATTAAATTGCATAGTTGTGTCAATAGCGGATGATGAAGGAGACGGATGATGCGGAAGAATTGTCGTTGATGTTACAGTGGATGTAGGCATAGAGGAAACTGAATGGTTATTATGGTGTACTAATACCGTCGGTGAAATAACATCATGAATATGTTGAATCGCAGAATTTGGTGAGGAATGTAGTGCGATATTTGCTGATTGCATTCTTGTCACGTAAAAATTAGTGTCCGCTATTAAAGACGTCGGTGTTACATCTAAAGCCGGCATCGTCGTTCCTATTGTCCCACTGTGATTTCCAGTTGTTGTAAAGAAAAACCTGTTTAGATTTGCAAGAGCAGCAAGTTCTTCATTTAATATATCTTTATCGTTCTTATGCAGTTTAAATCTTTTTCTTCGCCTTAATAAACTTCCGTTTTCAAACATATCAAATGCTTGCGGATGTAAAGCCCAATAAGCCCCTTTTCCCGGCCTATCAGGTCTTCTAGGGACTTTGATAAAACAATCGTTAAAACTGAGATTATGTCGCAATGAATTCTGCCACCGTTGTGTATTTTTGCGATAGTAGGGAAAACGATCCGTTATAAATTTATAAATATCACTTAAAGGTAGCATTTTTTCTGGTGAACTCCAAATAGCCATCGCAGTCAGGGATATATATGAATATGGAGGCTTTTGATCGCCATATGATTCACGTGATGGTCTAGGCATACCTGCGGTTCCCAAAACGCACGATAAAAACGCACGCAGTCACTCGCACGTAGTGGTCATTAGTACAACAAAACATACGTTCTTTGGTCTTTATAAATTCAAAACACTTCTTTATACCGAAGATTTTTATTTGGATTTTAATTATTAACTGTGATTATAACACCGAACACTATAAAAAATTATTATCTTTTCTTTTTCATTTCTATATACATATGTATTTTCATCAATAATTATGTACGAACAGGATTAATATTTTATTATCGAATAAATTTTTTGTCTTATTGCTTTATTTGAACTATTGAAACAATTCATATGTATGTAATTTCCGTCGGATATTTTCATAACTTTACGTGCATGTATCAGCAAATATGTTGTTTTATTTATTTATTTATTGCGCTTTTAAACTCGATAACGAAATTGTACAACAACGTACGATGAGACGACGATTACATTTATCCGTTCGCTACATAATTGTATAAACGCGCACACAAATCTAAATCCATAAAAAGAGCACCAATCGCCAAACCGTCAACAATCGAATCACACATAACAACAACATGCGAGTTGTTAAACAAAATCACAGACCTTTAGACGACAACAATATGAATAAAACTAACAATAACAACAAGAACAACAATTTGTTAAACAAGCACTATGACCAACCACATTAACTCAAACAAATGCTCTCTCAACCATACGTTTTTAAATAACAATGCTCCCTTAAGCTAAACGACGGGAACACATAAACATAAACAATGCAACAAAAACAACTACCCAGACAGCACGCAGCCATATACATAATTCCTGATTCTCTCAGACACAATGGCTACTTTATACCCATTCCACCCCTCTCGTAAGACATATATTTGCTTTACTTCATCAAGATTTGAGTATTGAATAAACATTTCTGGTTTCTTGATGATACTCGTTTCAAGAGTTGCCAACGTGCAATTATTACAGAAAAGGTTTAAAGGAAATAATCCGATTCCTGTTGTTTTATTGAAAATTATAATACTACTAATATTGTTGTTTTAAATTGACACGAATAACACTGAGAATTACTTTATAAATCGTTACGATTGAAATGTTTTTTTTTATAAATAATTATATTATACATTGTACTTATGTATGTAAAAGCATTTGTTTATAATAATAAGTACAAGTACAATTTCATACAATTTTCCTTTTCTATAACGAACTTCAAAATTAGAAGAAGCCGCTTGAAATACTTTTGTTTTATATAAATATAAATTTCCGCCCGTTATTCTCTAAATGTTCACATGAATGTCAAAGTTCTTCATATAAAATTTGAAGATTCTAGCTCTAATAGTTTTTCAGATATACGAATTTTCTTAATTAATTCATATGGGGACTCCAAGCCACCCCCCTATATTAAAGTCCACCCTTTTTCTCTATAATGTTCAGATGAATATTAAAGTTTTTCGTGCAAAATTTGAAGAATCTAGCTCTATTAGTTTTCCAAATAAACGATTTTTTTTATTTAATTCATAAGAAAGGTCCGCCAACATGTTTACATGAATGTTAAAGTTCATCGTACACTATTTTAAGATTCTAACCGTAAAAGTTTCCAAGATAAAGGAATTTTTGTATTTAATTTATATGGGAGATTCTACGCCCCCTGCTGCTACTCCTCCCACTTTCTGTCCTAAATAATCATATTGATACTAAAGTGGCTCCAACAAAATTTGAGGACTCTAACTGTTATATTATCTCAGATATACAGATTTAATATTTTCTTAATATGGGCGTGGCTCCTCGCCCACTTGAAATTCCAAAACAAAAGGCAGCCTATAGTTCCTTCCAGACATACAGGAATACTCTGTGCAAATTTCAAGAAAATCAGTTCAGCCGTTTAGTAGTCTATAAGCTTCAAACATATAAACATACAAACAAACACATATTAATTTTTTTATATATAGTAGACTAGCTTACCCAGTGTGCTTTGCTACACTAAAACCCCCATATAAAATTTTTTAAACCAAATGTTCATATTGATTCTTAAGCTACTTGTACAACAGTTCAGGTCTCCTACCTATTGTAGTTCACATAGGTGTCAAGTTGTTCTTGCAAAATTTGATGATTCTATCTCTATAGTTTCCCAGATATTCGAAAATTTTTATTTTGTTCATATGGGGGGGTGTCACGCTCCCTATTGCTAATTGGCCAATTTATTACACTAATGTTCACATGGATGTCCAAGTTGTACTTTCAAAATTTCAGTATTCTGGCTCTAATAGTTTCTCAGGTATACTAATTTTGTACTTAATTCACATGGGGGTATCTCGCCCACTTATTGCTAGTTCTCCTATTTTTGTCTAAAATATCCATATTATTACTAAAGTGACTCTCATAAAATTTGAGGAATCTAACTTATACATATATTATCTCAGAAATACTAATTCAATATTATACATATATTATCTCAGAAATACTAATTCAAGATTTTCTGTATATAGGAAGTGACACGCCCACAATACCCAGTCCTCCCATTTTGCCCACAATTGTTCAAATCTACGTCAAAATTGTCCATACGAAATTTGAGGACTCTAGCTGTAGCACTTTCTGAAATAGACTACTTTTAATACTTACTTTGTTTGTGGACGTGGCACTTTGCTACTTGAAATATCAAGATAAAAAGTAGCGTATAGTTCCTTCCAGGCATACACAAAGACACTGTGTAGATAGATAGATAGATAGATAGATAGATAGATAGATAGATAGATAGATAGATAGATAGATAGATAGATAGATAGATAGATAGATAGATAGATAGATAGATAGATAGATAGATAGATAGATAGATAGATAGATAGATAGATAGATAGATAGATAGATAGATAGATAGATAGATAGATAGATAGATAGATAGATAGATAGATAGATAGATAGATAGATAGATAGATAGATAGATAGATAGATAGATAGATAGATAGATAGATAGAAGATACTAAGATAGAGGAAGAAGATACTAAAAATGCATGCAAAATTAATACTATAATATATATGAAATTTTAAGTAAAGTTGTAGCCCATTTACACTACAACGAAATCTAGTACTTTGGGATTTCGAGCCAAATCTAGTTGATTTTAACTAGATTACACATACAAAACTACATAAATCTACTTCGTAACTAGATTTCATTAAAATCGACTCAAACTCTAATAGTTTTTAGTGATGCAACTCTGTTTTATTTCTAAATAATACTAAAACTACGACGTTGCACAAGAAAAAAAGAGAAAAACAAACAAAACAAGTAAGAATTTGTAATAAAGCATTTAATTTTGACCTTAATTCAAAAATATTTCAACAATTTGTTGACAAAAAGAGATTTTCTTAATTATTATTAATTATTAATATGGCTCTATCCTCATAAATTTTGGTAGAAATATTTACGTCTACATCAGTTTTTATGCAAAATATCATCGTGGCATTAGTGTTTATAAGTGAATTTTTATCATCAAGTCATTTTCTGAAGGGGACTTTGTATATTACGAAAATCAGCAGTTTCATTAAGACTAAACAAAGTTTTGCCGATTTTTTAAGTGATACAAGAACATTTAACATATTTATAAGCTCAAAAGCCCTATTCGGGGGGTACGGTTGTATGGGTGCTATACGAAATAATGGACCGATAGGCTTCGTCCTTGGGTCAAAAGAAAAGTATGTGCCAAACAAGATTTACATGGACACACAGACGGACATAGCTAAATCGACTCAGAAAGTGATTCAAAAAAATTTTAATAAATTGAAAAGCATGAATGAAAAGTTAATAAAAGGTAATGTTATTTAAATATGTATCTATTTTTTATTATAAATTAAATTTTAATAAATATATCATTTTTCCTTCTTATCTTTCATATCAAACACAATTTCGAGAAATATTAGAAAAAATTAAATCTTAAATCTTAGTGTAAACGGTCTAGATTTGTAAAAAGATTTTAAATGAAATCTACTAGATTTAGTGTAAGTATGTGTAAATTACATAAAATGTTTAAACTTAAGCATAGAATATTTGTAGGAAGTTATTACATTGTACCTTTCCCTGAAAAAATACATACAAAATCTAGTATATTGAACGTTGGTAAACATCCCAGCAAAATTTTTTGGAATTACAGTTACAAAGTAATGAGTGGTACATATTTATCTCATTATTTCAAATTCAATAATAATTAGTTGCTTGTAATGATCTAAATATGTACTTATATATATTGTTACCTACAAGATTCAAATAAGTACTTGCATGTAATACGTGTAATAACCGCTTATTTTAGTAATTAAACTACATACTTTAAATAAATTTGAGCCTAACATTTATAGTTTCCCAAATATATATTGCTGATTGCAGATTTCTATATTGCTGAACCGACATTTTTTAATATGTACGTTTTTTAGTTTTCTGGGTTATCAAGGCCTCTATTGCTGGTCCGCTTTTACAATTCCCTAAATATAATTGAATAACGGGAACCCGTGCCGGAAATTTTTTGAAACGTATAAAATTTCGTTAGCAAAAGGACTTTTTTAATTTCTTATTATTACTAAAATTGTACCATTAAAATTAAGTTCTCTTAACATTTCGACTAAACCTTATATTTAAGAGAAAATTATCCAATGATGTATAATAAAATAAGACCCATACAAACAAAATCGGTATTTTGTTATTCTATCTCGATACGATAAATCTTATATTCTTCATTCATTCCCAGCGAAAAATCTGAAATTTTTGTAAAGAAAAGTAGTTATTTCATACATTACTTTGTAATGAGTAGTCATTATCAACCATATTATTTTATTTATCTGAATATGTACTTACGGATATAGAGCAAAGTAATTTGTAAATGTTATAACCCAATTGTCTAGCGCATCTATTTAACAAACAAGAGGTTGGTGGTTCGAGCCCTGCTTGATTCCAATTATTTTTTTTTTTCGAAATGACAATGATTTATAATTTTGTAAAACTGTTCATAAAGTTACAATAAAGC